TTCTTGGATTGGCTCCCAAGGATCACACCTCATATGTTGTCATCTCTGGCAAACTTACTTGTCTGCTATGTATTTTGTATACAAAAGACTTTTCATTGAATGAATTTTCTTTATGAAAAGAATACTTAATAAATACCTCTCCTGACAAGGAAATTAAGACACATGTGCGTGACTGAACTCATATGTTCATTGAAAATTCTGGTTTTTTTCTCATAAAATGCCCAAGTCTTTGAGTCCTTATTAAAACCAAAGCAACTTAAAAGTAAACTCAGAGTTAACTCAGACTACAAAGCCAAACTTGTCCAACAATTCCACTGAATGACTTCTCAGGTCATGAGTAGATGATCTACTATGCAAGTGTCATTTTCATCTCTCAGTCCTGCACGGCACTGTTTTGTGTTAAGAGTAAAGGTGGTACCTTAGGGAGGCTTCGCTGACTTTGGTAGTAGGGATTTAGAGCAAGGAGTGGCATTGTGTCCTTCTTGTGTACTTAACTGAAGCTCTTTCCTTTTGTGGTCCTTCCTGTCCTGCTCACACTCTCTATACTTCAATGATTTCCCTTCTGTGGGTCATTCTGAGATCCTGTGCATCCTACCTACCGCTGTCCTCCCACACTTACTAGCGGAGAAATACTGTGCTCGCCCTCAGCTCATCCGGGAAGGATAAAAACCCAGACCACATTGGGAATAGGCAGCTTTTCTACCCACATTGGCCAGCAAATTATTTCCTTGCTCTGATTACATTTTCTTTGGTTCGGTTTTAATGTGGAGGCCAGAAGTTTTCAAATAGCCTCTTATTTTGTTTATAAGTAGAAATATTTTGGTTTGAATAAAGTGAGTAGATAACTGGAGTGCTCGGGTGCTACGGGTGCAGTTACTGTTTGTCATTATCATGATCACTGTCATGATTTTATGAAAATCATTTATTGTGTGCTTGTGATGTGGACAAAGGGAGCCCAGTTAAGGCTGGAGGAAAATGGGAAAGATGTTCGCAGCAGCACTTCCTTGCCTCTGTTTGATCCCAGCATATGAGTGACAAAGGATACACAAATTAGGTGACGAATATTGCACAACGCATAAAATAAATACTTTCTTGCTTGAGGACCAAAGATATTCTGGGGAAAGGTATGCACACAAAAGTGGTGAGGTGCTCATTAACTCTAAAGCCCATCTAAATAGGTCCCTGAAGCAATTCCAAGCACAACATACCTAGGAAAAGAATCTGGCAAACTAAACAAGGGCAGCATTTCTTTCAGAACCAGGTCCATGGCAGACACCTGGAAGGGTCCGAAAACTGCCTGGCGGCACTGTACAATTGCATCATGTAAGCCATCTGCTGAATCTGGACCAAGTTAAAGAGAGTGAAGATATATTTAATTTCTGATGAAACCGAACTGTCGGGAGACTACCAAAAAAAGAAAGAAGTGAGCTATTTGAAATCTATAAATTGCACTTCATGTTCATTTGTCACCTGTAGGAAAGCAAATAAAGTTCCCCCATCTCCTGCAGTGGAAGATGAGCGATTGCTCAGGGGTGGGTGGCAGCAGCTGTGTCCGTCTTATTGACTGTCTGTGGAAAACAACTCACTGTAGACATGGTCAGCTCTGCATCTGCATGCCCTCCAAGGCATTCTAATCACTTCTGGGCTGATCAGAGTGGAGTTAAGTGCTGCTTTTAAATGTCTTGTCTTCCTCTGTATTCACTTTCCTTCTTTCCAAGTAGAACAGTAAAAATGTATTCAAGAAGCCCTGGACTCTGAATGTTGCAGGGATGCCATGCTGTGTTCATGACAAAGTAGGAATGAAAGGTTTACTCATTCTTTTATTCGTGTATTCATTTACAAAGATATATGGATCTGCTGTGGAACAAAGCTTTGTTCTGAGCACAGATCTCCCTTTGTACAAAGTTTACTTAAGGAAATGTGCAGAGCTTGGATTTGTGCCTTTTCTAGAGTTCTCTCAAACTCTTACTCTAATCATTCTCCAGAATCCAGAAGAAAAAATACAGCAAAACATCATGTATTCGAAGGCACATCAAGAGGCAGAAGAGGGCAGAGGGTCATCCTAAACTAGCAGAAACAATGATGCCTGGGCATTTTTTAAAAATGCTATCTATTATTTTTGAAGAGTAGTTACTAGCTTGCATTTATATTTTGAAAATACTAGCCTGTAGAACACCTTGAGAAGATTTTACTTACTCACTTACGAAAAAAATATTACCTGTGTCTAAAGACAGAATTACATTTATTACTGGATTAAGCCCTTTCTATTTGGATCTCATTAAAAGTTTAAACTGACAGAGGTATGAACAATTTATTCTTATTTTGTTTTGAATTCTACTAGAGGTCTCGAAAAGTTGTTTGTCCAACAAAAAAATGGCTAAACAGAAATCAATCCATGTCATTCTGTTTATTTGAGCAAATGTGAGCAGAAGCTCAAGAACCCCTGGAATACTTGTATGCCTATAAAGGTCATGAGGAAATTCCCTACAGTTTTTCATCCTTTCCAAAATGTCAGGTCCCCAGATGGAAGGTTTCAGGTGAGTGCTGTGTTGGGAGGCAGAATTTTGCTTTGCTGGTTCTCAGCACTCCCACACCAGCCATTAAAGCATTCATTTTATTTATATAATATTAAGTAACCAGGTGCATTATTCAACTCCTTTCACCCAATATCACCAGGGTGCAAACTATCTTATACAATGTGATGACATGGAGTTTAAGGAGTGACAAATATTTTTACATGATAAATATAAATGACCTTGATTTGAGGACAATCTGTAGATCTATTTTTATTTTTTTAATTTTATTTTTATGATGTAGTCTTCCAGGACAAGCAGGTGGTGAGATATATATTCATGGGGAGAGAAGAAAGATTGTTCTGGTTAACAGAGACCTACAAAATCAGGAGGGGAAAAACACTGCCTTGCCTGAGACAATAGATATTCTATAAAATTGAGCCTCTTCATATTATCATGGAAATTACATTTGGAAGTACTGCAAAAGGTTGTTACACATTATTGTTAATTGTGGCTAGAGACACAAAGCAATATGATCATTTATGGCTTATTTGTTATTTGAAAAACGACAGTTTTTATGTGCCAATAAATGTGAAACCACCTGGAAATACTTCCATGAGTTTAGTAGCCTAAATGTCCTTGCTTAATACATACACCAGGTTTTAATGAAATCACTTGGGTTTGTGCTTAGCAGATTACATCCTTGTCAATCATCCTGAGGGAAGCTGTCTGGTTAGTCAGCATGAGACAGGGGAATGCATAATTCTGAGAACTGATGGTTGATGGATAAGCTCTTCATTGGCATACACTATGAGAGACAATTAATTTCCAGTTCTGTATGTGCTTCCTATCCTGTCCCAAGTGCACCTGACAGCCCTGCTGTTCTCATCCCACACCTTCCCCTTGTCTTCTACAAGCACAGGTTGAAAGCATACCAAGGAACCTTAAATTCATCCAGGAAAAAGTAAACAGGTGTCAGGCAGTGTGCCCGGTATGGAATGCTCACGCCACTCGCGATGACAGGACACTGCTTTCAAATATGGCACTAACTGGTCTGAGCTTTTAATATGATTGCTTCCAGTTTCTGGAGAGCTCTGGGTGTCCGCCTGATGCTCTGTCTGCTCCTCTGTACCATAGCTCCTCTCTCTCTTTTCCTGTAACTGCCGGGTCTTCTACTGGTAGTCTTTAAGCTCTAGGCTGCAGTGATTTCTCTTCTTAACAACCACACATTAAACACATCGCTCATGCTTCTCCAAACCAAACTCAGAGAGTGCCAGTGAATAAGTTGAGGAAGTCAGTGGGTAGCACTGAGGCCCCCTATCGGCAGATATTAGCTGCACATTGACTGAGCAAGGGGAGATTGCTGAGAATGGAGGATGAGACATTGTACTGTACCGTGCGTGCACTCCTGGTGGCATAACACGAAAGAATAAAAAGCCACTTTTAAGGCAGCCCTTCTGTCTTGGTCCTACTGTGGATTATTCACAATGCTCTGGCCATGATTAGGCATCTCCACAAAAGAGTGCAAAGCACCTGAAACATAGAGCTTTTACATATTTATAAAGCATATGGACTGAAGGGCATCTGACAACACTTTCGGTGGAATTTCCATTCATATCTTCACTAACTGCTTTTTCTAAGTCCACAGGACTACTCTGAAAACTCTTATCATTCATTCCTTTATCCATCCATCCATCCATCCATTCATTCATTCTCCAGATATTTACGTACTACATGTGGCTGTTGGGAAAATACCTGTGAAAAACAGACAAATACTGTCACCACATGGAGCTTGCATTTTAGTACAGGGCATGGCGGCAAGAAGCAACCTAGGGAAGTAAAGGGAGCAGGCGCTCAGAAGGTGGTAAAGGCAGTGAGAGTTTTAGCAAGCCTGTGCACTATTCCTGGAGAAGGCACTCAGGAGTCCTGACTGAGACTCAAGACTCATGAAATCAGGCTAAAGGTAGAATGATATGAAATATGGAACAAAAGGGTGTGAAGTACAAAAGGCAAATAAATGGAACCCACACTCTGTGTCTTCCCTTCCCTCACCAGGCGGTCCATTGTTGCTCTTTAATTTCATCAAGTGGAGCATAGACAAGGCACAGTATGCAAGAGGGTTAGCATTAGGGGATTGTAGAAAATGTTCCAGATGAAGGAAGTAATTTGGAAAGAAGCAGGCGCGCACACACACACACACACACACACACACATACACACACACACACACACAGAACCCAAAGACAGGGAGAAAAGGAGTCCTCTGTTTCCTACCCAATCCTTGAAAATTCTGCTTTGCTTTTAATTTCTTGGTGAAAATGGCTTGGGTCATTGCTCTAAGATAGGAGACAAAATGGGACAGAGTGAGTCCTTGTTTGGCTGAGCATTCTCTGCCTGCCCTTTCACCCTCTTGTCTCATTTTTGAGTTCTGTCAATTTGTGAGCTTAACTTCCTGTTGTTTTCCTTCCCCAACATTCTGTACCGCAGATTATGCTGCTCACAGACCCAGAGCTTGAGAGCAGCTTATTGATCAGCTCAGATGAAGGGGCCACGTATCAGAAGTACCGGCTGAGCTTTTACATCCAGAGCTTGCTGTTCCACCCGAAGCAGGAAGACTGGATTCTGGCGTACAGTCAAGACCAAAAGGTGAGCATGCTTCCTCGCTTCATGTGCTGGTGAGCAGTTCTTCACGGGGGAACCGTGGGCTGTCTGTCTCCACATTTCACCTCCGTGATGACTTCTACTGTGGGAAGTGCTTCGAACTCTGTGCCAGTGGGGGCAGGGAGGCAGAGGATCTGTTTGCTGGCTTGAACAATGTAACTGTCTGAAAGAACATACGGAATAACAGATATTAAGTGAGACATTGTGAAGAGGGTGTTGTTAACATGGATTCGGTGTTGGGCAGCTTTCCATCACTAAAACAAATATCTGAGATTCATCTCATGCAGAGAAAACGTTTATTCTGGTTCACAGTCTTGGAGTTTCCAGTTCTAGACTGAATGGTCCTGCGCTCCGTGCTTTGGAGGAGCCAGCACCTCATGGCAGGGGAGTGTGGCAGAATAAATCCACTCACCTCATCAGTCAAGAAACAAAGGCAAGAGACAGGACAAGCCAGGACCCCACAGTCCCCTTCAGGGGCACCCCCAGTGACTTCAAGATCTTCCACTAGAACTCACCTCCTCAAAGTCCACAGCTCCTCTTGTGTTAAGAGCTGTTCTAGGGATGGAACCTTTGTCCCATGCACTTTTAGATGACATCCAAACTGCAACAGCTACCTAAAGCTCTCAGGATCCACTGACCTCCATGGAATCTGAGACTGTTTTATGTATGTGACTAAGTCATTTTTCTTGGTAAAGGATCCATAACATTGTTTAGCTCCTAAAAGGGCAGCATAATCTTCAAATCATTGAAAACACCACCAAAGACCTTGTTTAAATGAAAAACTAGGCCAGAGCACAATAATAATGTGTGTGGGGGTAACATCGCTCAGAATATAGACATCTCAGTACTTTTGTTCTGTTGGTGGTAAGGTTGAAGGAAAGGTCCACTTATTAAGAAGACCCTAGAATAGTTTATCCTATTACATGCATGTGTGTGTTCCATAAACGTCATACGTCATACTGTATGATATGTGCTCTGTACCATTATGTACTATTAAAAATATAGTCCTTGTCTTTCAGAAGTTACATTCTTAGAATCTAAAGCTAGCAATGGCCAATTAAATTTAATAGAAAAGAAATCAGCACGTACATAGGCAAATGTGAGAGAAACTCTAGCCATAAAAACAAATAGGAAAACAGGTGAAATACGGGAATGCTCCTTGAGACATGAATTATTCATTGCATTCATTCTGGGAGTTCTCCTTAGAGGAATCATGCCATAGAAATTACACATATTTAAACAAATGCTGGATTTACATGTGCATGAGCTGATGTCAGTGTGGGAGGTTCCCCCTGCAGGCAGGGGGATGTTGTAACCAAATTGTCGGGGTCTCTACTGACACGAACATTTTGGAAGAAGCAAATTAACATTTTAGAATTGGAGTTTTAATCATGCTGCCCTTACTGCCAAATAAAATGCACATTGAGCCTAAAAATAGAAAAGGTTTACAATTAATAGTGCTTTTCTCTTGAGCAGCCTGGCTACTCTTGCAGCAGAATGTACAGTTTTGTTCCTGGAGTCGGGCCACAGTGCGTCTGGGCTGGGGCAGTGCGGTTAACAGGGGCGAGGGCTGAACCGTTCCGGACACAGGGTATTAGTCATTTAATCTTCTGGGTTATTGAGTTCTGTTCGACAGTTGGTTAAGTGTTTCCCCTGATGCCAGAAGCACAGTGAAGCCAAATTTACCTGGCTAAGTGAAACTCTGCATCTTTGCAGTTGTGCTGGAGGAAATGCAGAAAAATGTAACCTTCCGTGTTCCAGCCTTCGAACCAGGACTTTGGTGGTCACGTGGCAGAGTGGACATCCCTGGTATGGGTTGTGTCCCCAGCTCAGCCATCTACAGTGGACAATATTTAACGTTGTCTCCCTTTCCACCAAAGGGGTTTGTATTCAAAATTAGAATCACAGGTAGATGTGTGGTGTGATTTAAAAAACAAATATTAGACTGTTCATCCATCCAGTTTAGGCACTACGTGGCTGCAACATTGATATAAATAACTATATCAAAGAACTTTCAATCTACATAGAGATAGGAAATGAATACAGATGCTTTCACCAATAATTTGAGAGGGGATAAGAAGTCAGCACTCTCGCTGATCCATAGTGGTTACCTAGCAGAGTAGCTGGATGAATTACACGAAATTGGTTTAAAGTCCAGGAGATGGAGATCTAGCCATCTATTAACTCGACATCCTATGAAATTACTTCACCTGCACCTGAGTAACTGTGACAGATTTCTGTTGGAGCAGGCACACTTTTATAAAAGGAACGTTAAAAAAACAACCCTGTGAAGTTGGAGGAAAATGTTTACAGATGGCAAACTTTTTATTTGACTAAAGTTAAAATTTGATAAAGCTAATTATGCACACACTTTTGGAACCTCATCTTGTTTAGCTTTACTGTTTTGATAATTGCACAAAATAAGTTTGGTTTTTCTAAATAGGAGCTTTGGTCGGGGGAAATGCTGTGTTTGGAGCTAGCAAATAAAGGGCTCAGCAGTGTTAGTGTAAGGATGAATTACAGTAATATAAAGTCAAATGCAAGGCGACCAGGTAGCGTGATATTACAATTATCTGGGCATCAATGCTGAGGATCTGGATCCAAAGCAATCTTTACTGACCACACACCCAATGGATTCTAAGAGGTTAGTGAATTTTCTCAAACAGAAAAGCGTTGTTGGTATCCTATGGGAACGTTCTCAGAATGGAAAAAATCCTTCCATGACACTTGGTAGAGTTCTTATTCCAGAGGTTGATGTCTAGAAGTGTGCAGAGGAGAAGAAGCCAGTCTTTCTGCAGGTCTCTCCATTTCTGTAAGACAGAAGGGAGCTGGGGTAGGTATTAGATAAACTGATAATGCAAGCAGGTGCCAAGCAGCCTCCAGGTCTCAACATGTGAAACTCAGAACAAGAAGAGGGGATTGGCTGGAGCACGGTGCACTGCACTATCAGTGGAGTCACTGGCTGGAGTCAAGTTGAGAGCAGCTGTGACCCCTCATGATGGAGAGCCAGTGATATGAAAAATGGCTAGCCATTGCTCATAGACTGCAGAGCTTCAGGACGGATGAGACAGAGCTGTGGGCACAAAGCAAGTCTGAATGTTTGCGTTGTGCCACCTATAATTGTATTTGTCCAAGCTGGGGAAACATTTCTTCTTTCAGGTAAGCATTTTTTGCCAGTTTTTCTGTAACAGCTACTAGCGCTCCTGCTGCAGAACGGCCAGCTAAGATCTTAGTGTCAGTGCTAGGGTTCAGTCTGCTAGACACTGTTTCCTAGAAATCCTGGTTTACAGAACCTGCGGGTAAGGGGCCCCTCCCTAAGAAAACACACCTTGTCGTGGTGGCACCTCCTCCAGAACTTACTTAAGAATGGACTTTCTGGGGCTGGGGATTTAGCTTAGTGGCACAGTGCCTGCCTGGCAAGTGCAAGGTCATGAGTTCGATTCCTGGTACTGGAAAAAAACCAAAAAAAAAAGAATGGACTTTCTTTCCTCTTCCCGTATTTGCTGTCTGCCTTATCTCATAAGATGCACTTTACCTCTTGTAAACACATAGGCGTATTGGTTTGTCCCTCACTTCCATGTCACAGCTTTTCTTTCGCTTCAGTGCATGAGGCATTTAAGGTCCTGAGGACAGAAGGTGGAGCTCTAGCTTGAAGAGTGTGCAGAATGACTGCAGTGCACTGACTGTCATCTCGGCTATCTAAATCCGAAGTACAGGGGCTGGGGATTTAGCTCAGCAGCACAGCGCCTGCCTGGCAAGTGCAAGGTCATGAGTTTGATTCCTGGTACCAGTAAACAAACAAACAAAAAAAAAAACAAACAAATAAACCCTAAGTGCTGACCTAATTAGAGCATTACTAGAGACTCAAAGAGTTTTGTTGATCAGACTGTCCAGTCTGGCCTGAGATAGAGGTTTCCTGATTATTAGTTCCATGAGACCAGGGTAGAAATAAAGAGTGGCGCATCAGGGAATCATAATGTTTTAATATTGTAGCCCACCACCGTGTTTTTACTTAGGAAGAGAGATGTATTGGAGAGATCGAGGAGCTAGGTGCTTGGGTTAGTGGGATTTGCCAAAGGAACACAGCCTCTGGGCAGGTGTTATGAGGAAGAAATAGCTCATGTAATTATGGAAGCTGAGAAGTACAGTACCAAGGTCTGCCATCTGCAAGCTGAAAAGCTCAGATATCCAATAGTGTCATGTCCTCAAAGTCCCAGTATCTTGGGATGGAGTGGGCATGGGAGGTAAGTTTGGGGATTATGATTTAAGTCCTTGTCCAAGTCCAAAGACTCAAGATCTAGAAATGTCCAGGTCTGAGGGAGGAGGAATTGGATGTCTCAGCTCAAAAAGAGAGAGAAATTCAGACTTATGGCACCTCAAATGATGGTTGATACTCACCACATTGGAGGTGGTGGATCTTCTCAGACTACTGATTCACATACTGATGTATTCAACAAACATGTTCACAGATTTGCTCAGAAATAATGTTTACCAGCTGTGCAAGCATCCCCCAGCCCAGTCAGTTTGACAAAGTCAAACATTACAGTGGTTTCAGGGCAGTAAATACTGTCTTGAATAGGAATATGGTTATAGAGGCACCCCCAAAATAACTGAGGGCTAAGACTTGGATTATTTTCTTTTTGAGGTGGTTAAAGAAGCAGCCTCTTACTTAGGAAGCCCTAGGAATGAACTAGGCTAGAAATTGGAGCAGGACTCCTTAGCATCTGAAGAGTTTATGTAAGACTGCACCTTTAGACACCCCCCATTCACCCAGTGAATATTAAAGACATTATAGAAATTCTGAGTAAAATAGGCAGAGGGATAATGATTATAAAAAGCACCTCACTGTTCTTACCACTGTAAATGGCTATGGACAATATGAACATTTCCATGACATTAATGGGAGCATGAGGAACTTGCTCTTTTTTATTTGTATTGTTTACTTCTATGACTTAAACAGTAGGTCAACCAAACATTCTGCTTTC